TATATATTTATTAAAGGCCTGGTCCATGAATTAGTGCATGGTTGGGACCCCTTGGCCTGGCTGACAATCCCAAACAGGGCCATTTCACCCAGGGGAGAGACCATGGGAGGTTGGCTGGCCACAGGAGGTTGGCTGTGGGAGTGTACTGCACCCGGGGGGCAGCTCCTATGTTTAGCTTTTGTCCCCTGTGGTGAGTGTGTGTCATAGCGACTGGTTGACCAGTCATTTGGTCCACTGGTAATAATGGTCATTTAGGCAATATATATATATATATATATAATTTTTTTCTGTATATATACATATATACATATATACATATATATACTGCGCATATATATATATATATATATATATAGATTTTAGACAGAGGAATGAAGAGATAGAGATAGAAACATTAATAATGAGAGAGAATCACTGATTAGCTGCCTACTGCAAGTCCCCACCTACACTGGGAATTAAACCGCAACTCACGTATGTGCCATGACCAGGAATACAACCGTGACCTTCTCCTACATAAGTTGATGGTCAACCATCAGCCCCACCCGCTGAGCTATCTTCTTGGTGAAATATTTTTTTAAAATGTATTTTTATTGTTGATGGTATTACAGATGTCTCCCATTTCCCCTGTGTATATGTTTTTGGGGGGATCTTTTCCAGTTCTCCCCACCCCTCCTCTGGGAGATCTGTCAGTCTGTCCCAGTAACCAGGCCTCTCGTCCCATCTTCTTCCTCAGAACCACTGGCAGTCCTACAACACCTTGTTGCTCATGTTCCCAGGCTGGAAAGCTAGCCCTCTCCTGGGAGGTTTAGAAAACTACATTACCCAGAAAGCAATGCGTCCAGGCAGGGCATTTTGATGCCAGCGCATCCGGTTGGGGCGGAACTTCCGGAGTCCTCTTCCTGGCGGACATTTTGACTTCTTCAAGCTGCCCACCGGCTCATGGACTTCATCAGTAAGTCCATCGCGGGAAGGAGGAGACGTGGGAGGCAGCGTCCGGCTGTGCAGGGTGTGTCTCAGCCTGTTGAACCGCAACCTTCGGGATTGGAGTCTCTTTGCCTCCCCGACTCCTCTCCGCTGACAGAGTTCACTCAGCGTCACCCCATTGAACCTCCAGCCTCTGTTCCCGCCGCCGCTCAGGTCCCGCAGCCCAGGGCGCAGCGTCCAGCACAGTGAGTCCTCGTGGGGGACCCGGGGTGTGAGGGGGGAGGAGGGCGACGGGCTGCGGTGCCGCCGGGTGAGGCCGTGGGGGGACTGAGCCGGGAGGTGGGGACACCCAGGCCTGGTTTGTGTCTAAAGGCGACAAAGAGGACGAGAGGCGGTTCCCGGGAGGAGTTTTACTTTCATGCTCAGGGCGACGGGGCTGTGGGTGGTTGTGAACAACAGAGGGATGAGGCTGAGATGCGGGTTTAAACGTTCCCCAAACGCCCAGAGGAGGAGCCGCCTCCAGGAGAGAGGGCGGCAGTGAGGGCGGGAGGAGGGGCTGTGAACACAGCGACCCAGCAGGAGGCGCCCTGAGGACCAGCCCTGAGGGAGGGGCATCTCCGAGGCGCTGGACCTCGGGCCTGAGCCCCTGGGTCCTGGGGTGGGTGCCAGGCCCTCAGCAGCCCTTTAGCTCCCACAGGTTCCTGCAGGTGAGAGCCGCTGAGGGGACTGCTCTGTGAGGCTATGTCAGGGCCTCATACTATCGTGGGCCTCTGAGACAGTGGGGTCCTGGGGCTGTCCAGCCCCTCTTCTCGGGGGACCCTGGACCTGGGCACCTTGATGAGACACGAAGCCCAGAACCCTAAGTCCAGGTCAAGGGTCAGATGAGTGGCACCTGATTTTGGCAGCCAGTGGAATTGTGTGTGACAGGTCCTTCCATGCATGGGTTCCAGAATGTGCAAAGGCTTGAAGTGAAGACTAAGCTGATTCAGGGCGGAGCAGGTGTCCATTTTTTAAAAAGAGGAACTGGAATCAGTGGGACAGGAATCAAGTCCAGAGGAGCTTTGTGACCACTTGGGTTTCTGTTCTGCTGGTGATGGGGTCATTGGGGTAATTGGTTAGTAGAGCAGGTGATCTGTCCAGGTCTCATTAGACTCCCTGTGACTGCAGCACGATGCACAATATGGGTGTGAGGACAGTGGTAGAAAGACTAGGATGGAAGCTGCTGTGATAGTGTTGGTGAGCGTGAGGGTAACTGGAGAACAATGGTGGTTGTGGGTGTGGAAGAAGCAGTTTCATTATGGGTCAGGGTTTTAGGTGTGGCCACGAGGATTTTCTAATTTTGAGGATTGGAGAGAGAGGTAAGAATCAGAGATGATGTAAAGGTTTGGATTTAGTACCTGATGGTATGAAAGCACCATCAACTCACATGGAGAAGTCATAATGGGAAAATTAATGTTCATTAGTCATATACAATCTTTTATATTTTCCTATTAGGTTATCAGATATTTCAGAGACAAGTTCATGACTATCTGGAATTCTGAGTAGTTCAAGATGAACACTAATTTAAAAAAATAATAAAGAGTATGGACCAGGGAGGATTTGTAGATCACCTTTTTATATTATTTTATTGGAGGTAGAAGAGTAATTCAAAAAGATGAGGCTGTAGCCGGTGCATATTTACTTAAACACTCACCAAGATTTCTTATTACCCTTTGTGTAGCCTTGTGTGTTGCATCCAGTTTGGTAGATTTGCTTATGGGCAGGAGTGGGCATCTGTGAGACTCATAGGGCATGGGGTTGAGAGCCATAGGCAGTGGGTCTTGAGTACTGAAAGCTGTGAGTGGAGAAGGGACACCAAGTGCAGCACCAGTAGAGGTGGACTCTGGATAACTGAGATCTGATGTGGTTCTCAATATGTGAGAAGGAATAAACAATTTGGGATGGAGGCCTTCATAGCAGAACTGAAGGCTGTGTCTTGGGTGTGGGCATCCAGAGTCAGGTTAGTACATGATACTGTTTGAATTTGCCATGCATTCTCTGGAACACACATGCTGAGTAATGACTGAAACCAAGGAGATGTCTATGGGAGCTGGGGCTATGGGAGTGCAGGTGTGAGAGAGGTGTGGGAGAAGGAGTGATGTGCTCTTGGATAGAGAGTGAGAATTCATGGCCACAGATCCCTGATATTGACATAGAGGGAATGAGGTTGAGTCTATTTCTGCTGATAACTGGATGATACAACATGGGGAATTTAGGGTAATTCCTGAAAAGACGGGTGTTTTGGCGCTACATGCCAGGTCCAGAATTTAGGTGTCATATAGGTGCACACCTGCCTGTTGTTGGGCTGATACAGTGATCAATAGGAATGGGATAGCATACATCAGTGTTACCTGGGCTTGAAAGTCTCTACTGATTTCTGGAAGGCAGAAGGGTAAGAGAGAAATATATTAAAGAGGAGGTGAGTTAGAATGTTGAAAAGGGGGGATTAGAAAACAACCCGTCTTCTACATGGCATATATGTGTTATCTTTGAAGTTGTAACTCTGGAATGAAGCTGTATGAGAGAAGTGTGATACAAAGAATTATGTGGAACAGGTAGGGCAAAGGGAGACAAGTGATGCCATGTTTTCTGGGTTCCTGGAAAGAGAATCTGTTAGACAACAAGGATATTGCCCCACAAGACCAATGTCAAATCCCTCACTTCTCTCTTTATGGCCAACATTTATCTGTACCCTATGTTGGTGACACCCGTAACATTGACCTTAAATGTGAGACTCTGAGGTCAGGTATAATCAGTCTGGGCATCTGCCTTTATTGCTGTGAGAATACACAGTGTAGGTAGGAATATTAGGTGAGAGTGATCCTGCTGGATACAAGACCTGCTATTTTCTGTGATGTGGGAGTACAGGGAGCAAATGGATATGGAGAATGGGAAGTATGATGAAATTAAAGCCTTAGGAGAGAAACTGATCATGGACTGAACTGTCCCCATTACGACAGGATATGAACTTTGAGGACGTGGCCATTGTCTTCTCTCAGGAGGAGTGGGGGCTCCTTGATGAGGCTCAGAGACTTCTGTACTGCGATGTGATGCTGGAAGTTTTTGTACTCGTCTCATCTGTAGGTAAGATGTTCACATTGTCTCAGTGTCATGAGCTGATGTCCTTTCTTCCTTTATTCTCAAAACATAGCTTGCTCTCTCCCATAGTCAGACCACGAGTTCTGCTAATTTCTGCCACTGTCTTGTCAAATGTGCTGTGGCTTCCGGTGCTCAGCTGTGTGGAGACCCCTGACCAATGGACTCCACGAACATTCCTAATACCCGTTGTGTCAAAAAGTGCAGAAAGTGTCTTGGAATCGGGAGTCTTACAGTCAGTTTAATGGGTCCCACCTTACTCTTCCTCTCCCTGGGAGGGTGACAATATCCACATTTATTCATTTCTTCCCCCTTCCTATAGGGAAAGGTGCTTTATGACAGCCTGTGCCAGGTTATGTTCTTCACTTACATGAACCATGAGCTATTTTTTTTCACTTCCTAATTCTTTTTTCTTTTTTTTTTATTGCTTAAAGTATTACAAAGAGTATTACATATGTCTCCTCCCCCGCCACCCCTTGACATTCCCCCGGCCTCCCCTACACCCCAGAGGCTTGTGTCCATTGGTTATGCTTATATGCATGCATACAAGTCCTTCAGTTGATCTCTTACCCCCGACTCCCGCCCCCAAACTCTCCCTGGCCTTCCCACTGTAGTTTGACAGTCTGTTCAATGCTGCTCTGCCTCTGTATCTATTTTTGTTCATCAGTTTATAATGGTCTTTATTATCCATAAATGAGTGAGATTATGTGGTATTTTTCTTTCATTGACTGGCTTATTTCGCTTACATGGGCTATTCTTGTAAGACCCTTCTTCAGTTGTTGTTTGTAATATTACTTTAACTCGGTACTACTGCATGCAAATTGCTCTCAGCCAGAGGTGACTGCTCACCTCCAGTGTCTTTCATTATTACATGGAATATTTAGGGGTTATGCATCGATATAGTAGACGATTCAGGGAGAAACCTGGCTTCCTCACAGGGTGAACATGCAAGATGGTTTCAGAGGAGGTGTGGCCATATTGAATGACAACTGGGGTGAAGGTATGACATAATGGTGGTGGTTAGATGATACCAGGAACCAGCTAAATTCCAACAGTGTTTAGGAGAAAGTGCCATAGCTACACCCCATTTCTACCTTCTCTTTCCCATAGTTAATACATTGCTGATTTACATTTCTTCTGTGACTTCCTGCATTATGGCTACCTTCACCTTTGTCATCTTTTTGCATCACCTCTCCCTCTGCACTGCTCCCTCTGCAGTATCTGCTACATGGACCTGCACATGTGTTCTTAGGTACACATGCATGCTTAAGTAGTCCTCAAACCCCTGCTACTCGTTTATTAAATTTCACTTGGAATAAGACATAACCAACCTTCTACACAGCTTGCCCCGGTCATCAGCAGACCAGCCCTGCTGAGCACTGTTAGCAGAAGACTTAGCTGGAGATACATCTTCTCTTCCATGTTGTCCTTGTCATGTGTGTGTCATGTTTCTGGTGAGGTCTTCCCTGTTTTGTGACCTTCAGAGACTCAGACCTTCACATCAGCTTCTTATTAATCCTTACTGCATATCTCTTATTTTTAGACAGTTGCAGAGAAACCATGTATTATGTGCAACCACTTTACCAATGGAACTTCCCCTGTCACCACAGTCAACATTCAGTTCCTCCTCATTTCTCTGTTTTCAGGATGTTGGCATAAAATGGATGATGAGGACTTCTGTCCTGAGCAGAGCATATCTGTACAAGTTGAGTCACAGGTCGGGGCTTCTAAGACAGCTCCAGCAACCCAGAGGATCCATCTGAGTAAGCATTGTTTCTCTACGTTAAAAGATATTCTGCACCTGACTGAGTCACAAGCAGTGGACTTTGAGCAGAAAGGCTTCTTCATTGATGCATGTGTGAGAGACTCCTGTTTCAGTGCAAATCCTCACCAGCCACAGAGGGATTCCAGTGTAGAGAAGATCTGGAAAGAAGACATGGACAGGGCCTCATTTGTGACCAGGTGCAGCTTCTATTTATCTTGGGTGCCTTCAACCAGTAGGGAGGTTGGGAAAGTCTTCCCAGCAATCTCAGAGCTTCTCCAGCACCAGGCGCCTCTCAACACTAAGGAGCCACACAGTGGCAGTGAGATTTCACAGGAATATCTTGGTGGAAAAAGTCTTCCACACACTTGTAACTATGAAAAATTTGGCAGCCACAACCAGAACGTTGTTCAGCATCAGGGTGCCTGCTCTGGAGAAGTGAACTATGACAGTAACAAATGTGGGAAAGTTTTTAGAGGAAGCTTTAACCTCCTTCGAACTGGAAGAATTCACCCTAGAGAAAAGCCATATGAGTGTACTGATTGTGGGAAGTCCTACAGGCAAAAGTCTCACCTCACTGATCACTACCATGTTCACACTGGAGAAAAATCCTATGAGTGTACTGACTGTGGGAAATGTTTTAGGAACAATAGTAACCTCCTAAACCACAAGAGAGTTCACACTGGAGAAAAGCCATATGAGTGTAGTGATTGTGGGAAGTCCTTCAGGCAAAGCTCTCAACTCGCTGTACACCTCCGTGTTCACACTGGAGAAAAACCCTATGAGTGTACTGACTGTGGGAAATGTTTTAGGAACAATAGTAACCTCCTTAACCACAAGAGAGTTCACAGTGGAGAAAAGCCATATCAATGTAATGATTGTGGAAAGTCCTTTAGGCAAAGCTCTCAACTCACTGAACACCACCGTGTTCACACTCGAGAAAAACCCTATGGGTGTACTGATTGTGGGAAATCTTTTAGCAGCAATTATAACCTCCTTTACCACAATAGAGTTCACACTGGAGAAAAACCCTATGAGTGTACTGTTTGTGGGAAATTTTTTCGGAGCAATAATACACTCCTTAACCACAAGAGAGTTCACACTGGAGAAAAACCCTATGAGTGTACTGATTGTGGGAAATCTTTTAGCAGCAATAATAACCTCCTTAACCACAAAAGAGTTCACACTGGAGAAAAACCCTATGAGTGTACTGATTGTGGGAACTCTTTTATGAGCAATATTATGCTCCTTAACCACAAGAGAGTTCACACTGGAGAAAAACCCTATGAGTGTAGTGATTGTGGGAAGTCTTTCAGCAGAAGCTGTTACCTCTCTGAACACAAGAGAATTCACACTGGTGAAAAACCTTTTGAATGTAGTGATTGTGGGAAGTTCTTTAGACTGAAGGGGAACCTCACTCAACACCACAGAGTTCATACCGGAGAAAAGCCATATGAGTGTAGTGATTGTGGAAAGTCCTTCCGGCAAAGGAATTCACTTATTCTACACCAGAGAGTTCACACTGGTGAAAAACCTTATGAGTGTAGTGAATGTGGGAAAACTTTCAGGACCAGCAATCAGCTCCTAATCCACAAGAGAGTTCACACTGGTGTTTTAGCTGCAAACCTAGCCTTGTTAAACATGAGAGTTCACATTGGAGCAAAGCCTTAAATATGCCGGGGATGTATTATCTTTCTCACTCTACAACACTGAAGGAGACTTAAATCCATTTACCTGAATATAAACCCCTTTTATCTGAACATACACTGTACAGAATTCCTCATAAGTTTGAGGTACAAGTGAGGTTTGAAGGAGCTGCATTGCACTTGCTAACTTCCAAGGACTCCAACCTCATTGATGTCACTGCGAGTATTTGTGGCTGAAGTAACCTCTACCACCTGGTTCACCTGAACACTGTGCATCAGTCACCACCCCTGTGTGCTTAGGGAAAAGGAATTCTGTGTTCTCCCTTGTGCTTAAGTGAATTAGGAATACTCCAAGCTTTTCGCAGGATCTTCATTCCGTTCCCTCTGACTAGGAAATGCACCTGACCCAGGATTCATCCAAATCCCCCATTCTCAGCTAAGAAGTGCTACCTCTTTCAGGGACATTGTGGTTCTCACCTTATGCTGTGATGAATTGTTACAAACTGATTGCTGTATACTGCTCTATGATGTTTTTGTAATTGTGATTTTGTTTTTGTACCTTTAATTTTGTTGGTTCTATTCACTGCCTGGGTTGATTTGAAAGCACAATTGTGATCTGTCAGCATAGAGTTAACCGATACTGTGGGATTCCCAAACTTTCTGTGCTTCAGAAAGGATAGCTTGATGGCAGAAAATCCTTCTTTGTCCATTATTCTTTGCATTAAGGCCCAAGGCATTGAAATAAAGACCATATGACTTTGTGGTTGTATTTTTGCAGGTTTGATCCCCAGCCCCCCATTTTGACTGGTGTGAGGCATCCAGTCATTGTGTTTCTCTCTCTCTCATTCCCCTCCAACTCTCTCTTTAAAAAAGAAAAAACAACAATACATCCACCCTTCTTCGCTAAGATGGGCCTCTGCCTGCACAGCCCACCTTCCCTTATTGTTTCCTGCCTTTGCCCGGAATGTTCCCCTCCAGGTGGGCACACTGTGTCCTGCCCAGGAGCTGGCAGAGAGGAGCCCAAGGCAAGGTTCTGGGAGGAATTGGTGTTCTGTTTCTGCTTGAGAAGAGCTCTCCTCATCCCCAGGCACCTGGCCTGCTGCAACTGAATCTACTTTATCTGGGTGAAGGCCCCTGATGCTTTGGGCCCCAAATGAGTTCACCTTAGAAAAAGTCTGCCTCTGGCAAGCCCACATACACGCCTGAGACCCACTGGTGTTGTTTGAGTTTATTTTTGCATTGTGGGGGGTAATTTTCTACGTTGACTTTATTACAAATAAAGCACACACCCTCCTTACTCCATTTCCCTGCTGTCCTGGAGATCATGTGGATTTTCCAGGAAATGGTGCTGTGTTTTTTCAATGCTGAGAACAATCTGCAATACAAGCGTTTCCAGCAGGAGAGGGTTGATTTCAACATGATGCCCCATTGGGGGATGCATTCTGGTTGGTGTGCCCACCTGGCTATTTGTGGCCTGTGCAGAGCAGACCCCTTCCCCTGTAGCGAGTTGACGGACCCTGGACTCAGGGATAGTGTGCTGGGGGCGGGGGGCGGGGGGGTACCTGATGGTGTAGAGAGGTTGGTGGCCTTGGACATGGTTGGTGAGGGTGTTTCCAGTCAGCTCATGGGGAAAGGTCCTTGAGTGGGAGGACTGAGGGGAGGATCTAGTGCTGAGGACTTGAATCAGGCTGGATGGAGGGGCCACAGCCAAGGGCAGGCACAGCTGAGACCTGTAAAGACAGAGGGTGTGCCGAACCGGTTTGGCTCAGTGGATAGAGCGTCGGCCTGCGGACTCAAGGGTCCCAGGTTCGATTCCGGGCAAGGGCATGTACCTTGGTTGCGGGCACATCCCCACTGGGGGACGTGCAGGAGGCAGCTGATCGATGTTTCTCTCTCATTGATATTTCTAACTCTCTATCCTTCTCCCTTCTTCTCTGTAAAAAAATCAATAAAATATATTAAAAAAAAAAAAAAAAAGACAGAGGGTGTGGACACTTGAGCGCTACTGTTCCAGAGGCTGGAGGTACAGAGTCCCCTGCCCTTGAGAACTGGTGTTCTAGTGGAGGACACCCCACAAACAAGGGGGCAGGGTAGCTGTGACAGGTGATAGGAGGTCAGGGGGAAAGTGAGGCCAGGGGTGGTCAGTGGGGTCTCCCTGTGGAAGTCTGGGACGGATGACAGGCTCCAGATGGCAGCCTGTGGGGAGCATGCCCTGAGCATTCGGGGGTCATCTTGGCTAGTTTGGACAACCAGGATCAGAAAGTAGGGTCGTGGTTGGGCAGTGGGCTCTGCGAAAGGACTTGACCGTCTCCTCAGGAGGCCTCACAGTTTGCCTTGAGCTCCAGGCTGCCTTTGCAAGAGCTGATGTGAGGAACCTTCAGCAAAATCACTGCCCAGAGGGAAACTGACTGCAAACAAAGGGCCCAGTGGTTTAAATATTTTTGTTTATTTATGATTAAAAGTGTATCTGTAAGGTACTTTAGTATTATCACCAAAAGGAAAATGACTAATACAGACATTTACAAGAGTAATGATGGTAAACTTCCACAGGGCGTCAAAAATCCTGCCAGCACTATCTGGTTTGGCTCAGTGGATACAATGTCAGCCTGCAGACTGAAGGGTCCTCGTTTGATTCTAGTCATAGACACATGCCCAGGTTAGAGCTTGATCCCCAGTTGTGGATATGCCCTGTGGTACATGCTGAGTGACCCTGAGTTTTCTTTTTTTTTTTTTAATTAAATCTTTATTGTTGAGATTATTACAGTTGTTCCTCTTTTTCCCCCCATAGCTCCCCTCCACCCGGTTCCCCTCCCACCCTCCGCACTTACCCCCCCACCACTGTCCTCATTTATAGGTGCATGATTTTTGTCCAGTCTCTTCCCCAATCCCCCACACCCCTTTCCCCACCAAGAATAGTCAGTCCACTCCCTTTCTATGCCCCTGATTCTATTATAATCACCAGTTTATTCTGTTCATCAGATTATTTATTCACTTGATTTTTAGATTCACTTGTTGATGGATGTGTATTTATTGTTCATAATTTGTATCTTTACCTTTTTCTTCTTCTTCCTCTTCTTAAAAGACACCTTTCAGCATTTCATATAATACTGGTTTAGTGGTGATGAACCCCTTTAGCTTTTCCTTATCTGTGAAGCTCTTTATCTGACCTTCAATTCTGAATGATAGCTTTGCTGGATAAAGTAGTCTTAGGTTCTTGGTATTCATCACTTTGAATATTTCTTGCCACTCTCTTCTGGCCTGCAAAGTTTCTGTTGAGAAATCAGCTGACAGTCATATGGATACTCCCTTGTAGGTAACTGAGTTTCTTTCTCTTGCTGCTTTTAGGATACTCTCTTTGTCTTTTGCTCTTGGCATTTTAATTATGATGTGTCTTGGTGTGGTCCTCTTTGGATTCCTTTTGTTTAGGGTTCTATTTGCTTCCTGGACTTGTAAGTCTATTTGTTTCACCAGGTAGGGGAAGTTTTCTGTCATTATTTCTTCAAATATGTTTTCAATATCTTGCTCTCTCTCTTCTTCTGGCACCCCTATAATTCAGATGTTGGTACGCTTGAAGCTGTCCCAGAGGCTTCTTACACTATCTTCATTTTTTTGGATTCTTTTTTCATTTTGCTTTTCTGGTTGGGTGTTTTTTGCTTCTTCATATTTCAAATCTTTGACTTGATTCTTGCGATCCTCTGGTCTGCTGTTGGGAGCCTGTATAATATTCTTTATTTCAGTCTGTGTATGCTTAATTTCTAGTTGGTCCTTTATCATAACCTCGAGGGTCTCACTAGATTTCTTGAGGTTCTCATTAAGTTTATCGGTGGTTTCTAGAAAATTCTTGAAAAACCTTAAAAGTGTGGTTTTGAACTCTATATCCAGTAGTTTGCTTTCCTCCATTTCTGTCATTTGCGTCCTGTTTCTTTGTCTTGGCATTTTTTATGCTTCGCTGTGTCGATAGAGTGGCTTTCTGTGCTAAGTGTCCTTTAGGACCCAGTGGCTCAGCCTCCCCAATTACCTGAGGTAGACACTCTTGGTGCACCCCCTTGTGGGCTTTGTGCACAGTCTTGTAGTTAAGCCTTGATTGTTGTAGGTAACACTGGGAGGATTTGACCTCCAGGCCAATTGGCTGTGAGAATCAGCTGTGTCTACGGTGGGAGAACTTCTGTGCTGGAGACACCCTTATGGGGCAAGACTTGCTTCAGTGGGGCTTCGGTGCTCATTGAGTCTGCCCCCTGAGTGGGTCCCTTATGGATCTGAGGAGTTGTAATTGGATGGTCCCACTCTGACCACTGGGTACACTTGCTCTTGGATCTAAGGAGGTGCTAATCTAGCCTCTGCCTGAGGCTACCCAGCAGAAGCCAGCTGTAATGCAATGCAAGTTGTCCTGGAGCCTTGGGGCAGCTGCAGTTTGTTAAGTAATTTTCAGATTACAAAGGGCTGGGACTTTCATATGCAAAAGCATCCATGCATGGCTTGGGCAGGGCAGGGTCCCAGGGGATCAACAGCGCAGGCAGAGCAAGCAGTATGGCTGCTCTCAGTCCTGTCCTCAGAGGCCCTGGCAATTGCTGCCAGCGCCTCCGAGAGAAAGCTGCCCTCGAGTTCCGACTGATGCCAGACAGTCCAGTTTCTCCCCGTATGAGTCTCAGAGCTTGAGACTCCCTCCAATTGAAAAAGACAATCGTGTCCTCAGTTGCCAGCCCTCTCCGCATGCACCTCCGCACCTTTGTATTTTACTTCTGTACCGCACCTCCTCTGAGTCTCGGTATGCTTTTCTCTTTCCTTCTAATTGTAGAATTTCCACTCAGCCAGCCTTCCTGTGGTTCTGGATGTTGTCCGTTCCGTCTTTTAGTTGTATTTTTGAAGTGGTTGTGCGAGGCAGCACATCTACCGCGTGTTTACCTATGCCGCCATCTTCCATAATTGCCGACCCTGTTTTCTTATCTGTGTGTTGCTGTGTGTGTTTCCATCAAGGTGTTACTGGTGTCTACAGTGTGGGTCCCTGTGAGCCTGGCCATAAGCTCTACACCTGAGTGCCCACCATAGGCTGTCAGTGCTCTGTACCTGAGTGTTTCTCTGCTTCTGTTGTCTGTATATTTACCTGTGTGGCTGTGCACCCAGGCAACAGGCAGCTGCATAGGCAATCTCCCGAGGGGTGATGGAGAGGACAATATGTTCGTCCCTGAGCTCCAGGCTGAGCTACTTCTGTCCCTGCTCTTCCAGGATCTGTTGTTCCCCTGGGGGTCTCATCTCAGATCCCAAGGATGGATGAAGTGAAGGGTCAGTTCATAGAACCCTAGTCTATGGGAAGATGAGGACTTGGGGACACTCTGATGTCAG